CCCGTGTAAGTTTACCAGTTATACTTATATATAAACTTTGTATCCAAATCATTTCTATTTTGCAGGTCATTGCTTCAAAATAGTATTTCTGAAATTCATATGTTTATTTGGTGTGCCTCTCTTATTCATATTTGTAATTGGCTCTCTTAGATCCCTTGTTCAGGGTGTAATCTCAGTTGTGCTGTTGTATCAATGTTTCATGCTCGTTTGAGTTGGACCTTGTTTAATCTTCTAAAAAAAAGTTAGAGATTTGGATTCAGTATGATTTTAAGGTTGTGAAGTTGCTTCTTTGGTGTTTGTGTGTACATTGAAAAATATCTTTACTCTTCAAGCCTTTCATATTTAAAATCATGCTCTAAATGGTCTTTGTGGTTATGTGATTTTAATTTTTTTTAATCTTTTTGAAAATTGTGTGTCTCATAATTACAATCACTCTTCTATTGTTGATAAACCTCATCTGTTTCTTTTTATACGGTATTTTAAGATTTATGAAGATGAAGTCTCATTTTGTTCCCATTATTATGATAGATTACTAAAGTGATGGCCAGGATGGCTTCGGCTGATATCATGTGTGTTGGCCCCAAGTCTGTGAGAGAGAAATTTACTGGCACAATCAGGTTTGTTATAATGTAATTCATTTTTCATGAGAATAGGGATATATCTATTTTGTATGTATCAAGTTAGTAATTTGCACAATGACATTGAATTATAGTCGTAATTAGTGTAGAACCAGTATCAGGTTCCATGTCGATTTCCTGCAGAGCTTATATTCTTGCCTCACTTATACCTTCAAAAACATATTCAGAAGCTCAAATGCTTGATAGATTTTTATCATTTAGTCTAAATTCTGCTTAAAACTCAAATGCTTTTCATCTTAACAGGCAGCAAGATGTTAGAGCAACTGAGATTGACAAAGTAGATATGCATTTGTCATTTCGTCCTGGTGACATTGTCAGAGCTCTGGTTGTATCCTCTATGATTTTTGCACTCTTTTATTTTCTTCTTTCCTTTAAGGTTTGGCTGGTAGAGTGGTGTTTCTGATACTGATATGCCTAAATAATATATGATAGTTCAAGATACTAATCACGATTGAAGTGGATGAATTGAATAACCCACTGTTGTAACATTGTATGTATGCTATTAATCATGAAATAGTGATTCTTGTAAAACTGTCACAAAATAATGTTATGGGAATGGAATATCGTCATTTTCATTGGGATATTGAAGGACAATGGCTGGATATGTAAGCGTTGAGATAGTTTTAAAACAGTTTGCTTTTGTTTCTAAATTTTACATTATTGCATTATTTGGTTATCTTTTTAATGTCACATTTTGTATAACAGTGGCTTGACAGTAGATCTGTTAGTTCTCTGAAAAATAAATAAATAAATGAAGATAAAAGAAGTCCTTAACGCAATCCCTTTGATAAGCTGTCCCTTGGAGATGCACGGGCTTATTTCCTTTCTACTGCAAAAAACGAACTTGGTGTTGTTTCAGCGGAGAGTGCGGCAGGTATGTTTCTCATGTTTCAGAACTTGATTTAAACTCTTTGTGGCACCTCTTGCTAGATTTATATGTGGCAAATGCTGTTATTTGCAATGTATAAGTATGTTTAAGGTTTTCTGATTGATATTTACATGTTCCTTTCTTAGAATTAATTTATTATAAGAGTATATTTCACCATTTGCCTCATACAATTATTGTTCACTTTAGTCGTTATTTGTGTTTTTTATGTGAAGGAGGTTTAGAAACTGACTTTATAAACTAAAGTTTTGTTCTAACTTTTTGAAGCAGGGAAAGTTAAAAAAATAACAGTACATAAAAATTTTAATATTGAAATTGAATATGAATATGTATGATGCATCAACTTACCATGATGTTATGGTGGTTTGTTATAGGTGGAACAATGGTTCCGATAAGTTGGATGGAGATGCAATGCCCATTGACAGGACAAATCGAGCAAAGAAAGGTTGCTAAGAATGAGAGTTGACCGATAAAAAATGATTAAAGCTAAAAGTAATCTTAAATGTGCTTCATAAATTTTTTATAGAGTACACTTAGGAATTCATTGTCAGAAAATTTCTAGGTATTTTGTTGCTTTTGAGGTTTATTGTGCTGTTCAAAACCATTGTATATCAGGGTTTATGCATTTTTTTTTTTTTTTTTTTTTTCTCTTTGGGCAATTTCCCCCTCCTTTGGATAGTTCCCCATTAACTTTGCCGAACAATGTTGTGTTGTAGATTAATCAACCAATTAGATCACCGGTGGTTAATTTTTTGACCGATAGATAAGTAACTTGTGTTTCGATAGAAAGGAGATAAGAACTGTTATCCATTATGTAACGATTTAAATGTGTTCATTCTATTTATTTCCATTTTATAGTTATATTTACTTATACTCTAATTCCAAACTCCAAATTGAGACTTTGGAATTAATTCTTGGTTGAGTAAACATCGGCTCAAAAACGAAATCGAAGGTTTGCCGCTTAGAACAAAAGGGATAATGACATGAATCTGCAGTTGAAATTGAAGAATTCTCTTTGATGGTGGTGTTGTGTTGTTCGAGCTTCCTGTTTACAAAAGCTATACACATGGTACTCAATGTTTATATTACCAAACAACTCCTGAACTTTAGATTCATAATCCTCAACATGCAACCAATGTACTATAAAACCCCTTGGGCTTAAGATGTTTCAGTACCATAGATCTCAAAGTAAATTTTTATACTGCATTTCCCTAAAAACAAAAACAAGGATAAATGTTTGTTTACAGTTGATGTATATTTAAATCGTGAGCAAAAAATTGTAATTTTTAAAAGAAATGGATATATTGGCTTGAGTTGTTTTAGGGCAAATAACTCAATCTTACAAATTTTTTTCATGACTTGGATGTGACAGTTCATAAAAGGTTTTGTCTATTCAATAATGGGTTTTATCTAAATAAAGTTTGTAAGATTGGGTTGTGAGTCAATCTTTAATGACATTTTTAATTTACTAATCTTATAAAAGCATACCGACTTTTAGTTATGTTTTAGAGTAAACATTTTTTTGCCACCCAAGGTTTGCCTTACTGACACTTTTCCACCTATAGCTAATATTTCATTACTAACTAAAGTCGATTCTGGCAACAGAATTTTTTCTATCACTACTATTTGAATTTTCGGTCTCCTTTGTACAAAACTTCTCTTACTCCGACACTGGATTTCTCATCGATTGTCAATCATTGCAGAGCTATAGATTTTTATTCTTAACTGATTTTCGGTTGATTCTAACAGTTAATATTTAATCAATCACTATCATTCGATTCATTAGCTTCCACTCTACAAAACCCCTCCTACCGTGACTCTTGGTAGCTCCCACTCTACAAAAATCCTCCTACCGTGACTTTTGGTAACTCGTTGAATGTTAACTGAGGAAGTGAAATGTATTTTGGATATTAATAGAAGAGTAATGCTACAGTTACTGACGGATGTACACCGAATGACGTGATAAAATCCTGACCATTGATTTATTATCAGTTAATATTAATCAACGGTTAGGATTTTGTCATGTCATTCAGTGCATAAATTCAGTATAAACTTGTTGGTAACTCAATTATTTTCCTTAATAGAATATAAATATTAGGTGGGAAAACAGTATTTTAAAACTTTTTAGTGAAAAATGTCATGGGGTGGGAAAAAGTCGTTTACGCTATTAGAGATGGCAATGGGCCCGAGATTTTTGGGTACCCGGCCCGGCCCGGCCCGAAAAGGCTGGGCTTTACCCGTAGGTGACGGGCTTGGTCTTGGGCCTGGGCTTGATTTCAAGGCCCGACCACGGGTACGGGCCGAGTATGGGTATATCTTCAGGCCCGGCCCGGCCCGCAAATTGTACTGTCTATTTTACTAATTTACCCTTATACTATATGTTTAATTACAGTATTATCCTAAGTATATATATCTAATTTTCCCAAACCCTAACCTCTAACCTCTTTCTCATCCCATTCCCTAACTCTCCCCACGCCCCACCTGCTGCCCTTCCTACATATCTCTCTCTCGGTCTCTCCATTTGCGATTCAGCCAATTCTGCAATCTGCCGCGGTGCCGCCTGCTTAGATAAAAACTCCTCCGTGCTACCTTCCAGCATCACCTCCGAAGAGTCCTCCGAAAAACTCTAAACCCAGGTTGGTTCTCAGTCTTCTCTTCCATTTACTAGCTTCAATACTACAAAACAAACATGGGTTTCAAGCATAAATACTTGATAATGGCTATTTTTTAATGATTTATTTTTCATTTTTTTGGCTTCAGCTCACTGTTAAGGCCTGCTTGTTTCTTGAAGTTCTTAGTGCTAGAATTGTTATTTGTTTGAAATTTTGCAAAACAAAGTTGTGAACGAAGTTTAATGAAGTGGGTGATAACTTGGTTGTTAGATGTTATTTATTGTTTGAATCATTGTTTNACTGTATTCGGTTTAGGGTTCAAGAAATTGATTTAGGGTGCAAATTTGCAGGTGTTCGATCGGAAAAAATCGCGTCTCCCTTTCGTTCAAGAAATCGCTTTTTGAACTAATGAATTTCGATTAAGCGAGGTGAATAGTTAGTGGGGCTTGTTTTGCAAAATTTCAAAATTTAAAAACTTTCATTATTTCTGATTCGGCCCACATATGTTTTAATCTTTTCATTTTAACCCATTTTACGTGTTTAATTAATCCTAACTATGCCATGTCATCTTCTCTAAATTAAAAAAAAATGATGAACAATTTTAAGACCATTTTCTTAAATCGAAACTTGAGATGATCGGACAGCTAAATTTTCTTGACTTCGCGGTTATTACTGTGAAAAGAAAAGAAAAGGGACGTCCTCCTATACGAGGAAAAATAAAAGAAAAGGGAAGTCCTCCTTTGCGAGGAACCTTCCGGTTGAAGCCCACCTTATCTGAAAATCAATGTTGTGTTGTGCGTATCTTATCCTTAAATCTGGGCTATGGGGGTCCCAATACACTAAAAAATCTTAACTTTAACTTCCAAATTTAGTTATGGATGCCCATCTTTACTTCACTCACTGGCTAATGGCTTCATCTTCTTCTTGTTCTTCTCTTCTTCTCCTTCAATCCTTCACTTCATCTTCTCCTTCTCCAACCCTTCTTTTCCACCAAACTCCCCACTCTATCTCTTCTCTGAAAATCTCCAGAAAACCCTTTCTCTCAAATTCAAAGCTTCTCACTGTCTCTTTTGCTCTCACTGAAACCGAATCCGACTCCCCCAACTCCCTCCCACCTTCCCCCCAATCTCTCCTTCAAGATCTCGCTGTAAGCATCATTATAACATTCTTACATCTTTTATTATCCACCTCACTTTATTGGAACTCCTTTTTGAGAATTTTGACCTTTTTTTTTTGGGTGGTGGTGCAGGATTGTTTTGATCTTCCATCTGATTATTTTGCACAGCTACCAAATGATCTTCGGATAGATGTAAGTCTATTTTGTTTTGTGTTTAAGAACCGTGTTATGTTATATCTATAGTTGGTTTGCCATATTTTGATTTATAGCATATGAAATATGAATTGACAAGTTTTGGTGTTTTTTATTTATCTATTTATTTATTGTTCTGCTGTAGCTAAACGATGCTGCTTTTGATCTTTCAAACGGGCCAGTTATCAATGAGGTGAACTTTTTTTTTTCCCCTTTGTATTTTGATTGATTGTTGAACTGGGATTTTGTAGCAAAGTGAATTAAATAGTGATTTTTTCTTTTCTGGTCATGAACCATTTAATATTTAAGAATTTATGCAAACACAAGATATGTAATTATAAAAAAGAAGAATACTGATGCTGTATATTTATTGAATCATGGTCAGAATTCTTAGTACTAGGCTAGGAATATGGGTAGAGCCAGTTATAACTTTAATTGGCCTTCATGTTTAGTACTTATATTCTCAGTGTTCTGAACCAACGTCAGTTTTTTATTCCTCGTTACAGCTAGAAAGGAAGCTTTATCCTGAACTTTAAAGCACTTATATGTCAATGTTCTAGTTCGGTATAGGTTTTTAGTCTACTGGATCTTTCAATTAAAGGTAATCCCTTCAACAACTTTTTTCAACTAATAAATATATGACACTGAAGATTTATATACTAAGTGGCATACTTTCCGAATTTTGGTACTTAGTACGTTTCAAAATTAAAATATTTTAGTATCTGTACTAGTAGACTAGATGAACCCCCTTTGATACATTTTTAGTCTTTATTGTGCTTTCATTCATTTGTGCAAAGTATCATACTTATGTTAGTCATCAGTTGTTTGGCATTTAAATCTAATTCCAGGTCTTTTCAGCATCAGTTATAAGCTTTATTGTATGGTTGGAATAAACTATTAATGCCAAAATTATTTCCTCAAATTTCCATTTTCAGTGTGGTGAAGAGCTGGGAGAAACACTTTTAAATATCGCTCGAGCCTGGGAACTCGCTGACACGTCAACTTCCTGTGCTTTAGCAAATAAACTCCCTGCATTAGAGAGCTCCTTAACTGACAATGCAAAATCAGGCAAGAGCAAGAGCATCTGCAGTTGATGCTTTAGATAAATTCTAAAGTGTTTTTCTGAAGCTTGTTTCCATCTATTTGCTGGTTTAGCATTTGGCAAGCGCTTGATATCTGCTGGAAGGAGGTTCCAATCAATGGGACAGTATGGTCAAGGTGAACTACAAAAGGTATCTTGCATAACCTGCAGTTTCTGTGGTTGCTCTCATTATTACTGTTGTTATTATTATTATTATTATTATTATTATTATTATTAATAATATTTATACATAATTTTCTCTTACAAGTTTGTGGAACAAATTGCAGTGTGAAGACTAAAAAAATAAAGAACGAATGTACAATTTTTCATTTTTAACTTTTAATTGGGGTCATTAGTCATCACTGGCATGCCACTCCTAGAATTTTCTCCTCTAATTCTGTAATGGTCTAGAACAACTACCTTAGCCCGAGAAAGTATAATATATGTTTTGAATATTCAAAAATCCAAATTGATCCTTTTTACAGATTGCAAAGACGATGATTGCAACTGGAAAGCTTCTCTCCGCAAGTTCAATGTCAACAGCTGATGAGCAACCAAAGAAGGAAACTAGAATGTTCAAGGTTGGTGAAAACTCTGAACTTCTTAGGCTGTTACCTCAAGCAGATACATGAAACACTAATACATATGACATTTCCTACTGTAGTTTGGAGAACTTCAGGTTGAAGTAACACCAGAAAAAGCTAACATTGGTGCAGCGCTTGCATTTTTTTTTGGGTAAATATCAAACTTCAGCTGTTAGTTTTCTTTCTGAATTCATTTATCACAAAAAAGCAGTAAAGAGTGTTCTATAATATAAGTATGATGAAAAATTGCAATGTAGGATTCTTTCATGGCAGCTAGGTCAAGGCATCCAGAGCATTCCTGAGAGCTCATTGCAGTATGCAAATGACAATGCTTTGCTGCTGGCAAAGGTTCTTCAAAACAATGTTCTATTTCATGTGTAACCTTGTGTCTCATCTTAATCTATGAGGCACTATTATTCACTATCTTGAAAACTTTTGGATGCAGTCTCTGAGGGGAGCTCTACTTGCAATGTGCTATTCGTCCACTGTCTTGTCAGCTTTCACTACTGTTGGGCTTTTCTTATATGCGAGACAACTTGCGTCAAAGGAAAAGTGACAATTTTTGGTGTTATCTTGCCTGAGTTTTGCTGTAAATCTGAGATACTCTTCCATATACACAAGTTAATTCTATTATTTCACTAGCAATGCTGGGTGGATTTGGAATCAATGTCACAGTCTGATGGCTGAAGCATTAATTAATTCGTGTTCTATCTCATTTCTCATGGAAACATATTTAGATACCTTGTTCCGGTTGTAAGACATTTCTATACAGCAATAAACCTCAGTTGTAACATGCCAAGAATCTGAGTTAAGTTACACTTTCTGCTGGTGGGTGTCATCTTTATTCCTTGAGAATATAAAATGGGGAAGGCAGACAACTGAGCCTTCAAAACTTTGGTGATATTGATATTGCATCAGTTTGTATTCTGATCATTAGATGCTTGTGCATTTTAATACTGACAAATAGAGTATCAAAGGAGATAAAGCTAAGGGCAGAATTAATAAGCATCTTGATACAAGTACATTTCAAGGAGTCTTCATACCCCAAGTCGGCTTCTTCTAAGACCAGCTTTCCAGATTCTTCTTTTAGCTTGAGCTTGTCTTAGACTTTTAAGGATGCCTCCTTTGTACATCTTGTTCGCACCTTATGTTTTTACAGTCATGAACTTAGAACACCAATGGCTGCTGGTATGGGCTGCTGGACATCTTCATTGCTGATCTAAGCGTCACAAGTGGTGAGCACTTGGCAACACTGTCCCAGATTAGAAAACGCTTTGTGGCTTTTGTTAGGCTTCTTTGGATCCTTGCAAGGTGAATTTCTGGAACTGGCTCCCTCTGTTTACCAGCTGTATTATATATAATGTTTTTTCACCTACTATATGCCAAAACACTTGACTGTTAAGTTACAGAATGTTTTGATTCAGTTAATGAGAAAGATTAGTCTACTGCCTTCTGCCTTTCACCTGATTATAAGAGCAATATACTGCTAAGAGTCCCAGTTGATCAGCTTTTTGCTTGCTCTAAACTTCAAATGTTTATTGAAGTTCACTAGAAAATTGGTTACTGCCATTCTTTAAACTCTTGAGCATTGAAAGTTATAAAGTCATAGTGTTATTTTGTCAAAGCTATTACGTTCAATAATCATTACCCTATTATTTACTTCAATATTGTGCAGGTTGAAACTGGGAAAGCGATGTGGCAAGACGTTTGGAAGGCTGGTTTTAAAAGATGCTGATATAGGCTATAAAGGACTTGAAATGTACTCCATCAAATGACTATTAATTTGGCTCTCAGTTTCATCCCATTTGATTCTCCTTTTATGAGTATTAGAATTTCATCCCCTATGATACTCCTATGAGTATTAGAATGCACAAACATTCAGTGAGAATACATATTGATACAATACCAATATAATCAAAGTTTTGAAAGCTCATTTGTTTTTCTTCACTGTTATACATACTCTTGGAATAAGATATTATGCTTAGAAATACNCTTGTTTCCATCTATTTGCTGGTTTAGCATTTGGCAAGCGCTTGATATCTGCTGGAAGGAGGTTCCAATCAATGGGACAGTATGGTCAAGGTGAACTACAAAAGGTATCTTGCATAACCTGCAGTTTCTGTGGTTGCTCTCATTATTACTGTTGTTATTATTATTATTATTATTATTATTATTATTATTAATAATATTTATACATAATTTTCTCTTACAAGTTTGTGGAACAAATTGCAGTGTGAAGACTAAAAAAATAAAGAACGAATGTACAATTTTTCATTTTTAACTTTTAATTGGGGTCATTAGTCATCACTGGCATGCCACTCCTAGAATTTTCTCCTCTAATTCTGTAATGGTCTAGAACAACTACCTTAGCCCGAGAAAGTATAATATATGTTTTGAATATTCAAAAATCCAAATTGATCCTTTTTACAGATTGCAAAGACGATGATTGCAACTGGAAAGCTTCTCTCCGCAAGTTCAATGTCAACAGCTGATGAGCAACCAAAGAAGGAAACTAGAATGTTCAAGGTTGGTGAAAACTCTGAACTTCTTAGGCTGTTACCTCAAGCAGATACATGAAACACTAATACATATGACATTTCCTACTGTAGTTTGGAGAACTTCAGGTTGAAGTAACACCAGAAAAAGCTAACATTGGTGCAGCGCTTGCATTTTTTTTTGGGTAAATATCAAACTTCAGCTGTTAGTTTTCTTTCTGAATTCATTTATCACAAAAAAGCAGTAAAGAGTGTTCTATAATATAAGTATGATGAAAAATTGCAATGTAGGATTCTTTCATGGCAGCTAGGTCAAGGCATCCAGAGCATTCCTGAGAGCTCATTGCAGTATGCAAATGACAATGCTTTGTTACTGGCAAAGGTTCTTCAAAACAATGTTCTATTTCATGTGTGACCTTGTGTCTCATCTTAATCTATGAGGCATTATTATTCACCATCTTGAAAACTTTTGGATGCAGTCTCTGAGGGTAGCTCTACTTGCAATGTGCTATTCATCCACTGTCTTGTCAGCTTTCACTACTGTTGGGCTTTTCTTATATGCGAGACAACTTGCGTCAAAGGAAAAGTGACAATTTTTGGTGTTATCTTGCCTGAGTTTTGCTGTAAATCTGAGATACTCTTCCATATACACAAGTTAATTCTATTATTTCACTAGCAATGCTGGGTGGATTTGGAATCAATGTCACAGTCTGATGGCTGAAGCATTAATTAATTCGTGTTCTATCTCATTTCTCATGGAAACATATTTAGATACCTTGTTCCGGTTGTAAGACATTTCTATACAGCAATAAACCTCAGTTGTAACATGCCAAGAATCTGAGTTAAGTTACACTTTCTGCTGGTGGGTGTCATCTTTATTCCTTGAGAATATAAAATGGGGAAGGCAGACAACTGAGCCTTCAAAACTTTGGTGATATTGATATTGCATCAGTTTGTATTCTGATCATTAGATGCTTGTGCATTTTAATACTGACAAATAGAGTATCAAAGGAGATAAAGCTAAGGGCAGAATTAATAAGCATCTTGATACAAGTACATTTCAAGGAGTCTTCATACCCCAAGTCGGCTTCTTCTAAGACCAGCTTTCCAGATTCTTCTTTTAGCTTGAGCTTGTCTTAGACTTTTAAGGATGCCTCCTTTGTACATCTTGTTCGCACCTTATGTTTTTACAGTCATGAACTTAGAACACCAATGGCTGCTGGTATGGGCTGCTGGACATCTTCATTGCTGATCTAAGCGTCACAAGTGGTGAGCACTTGGCAACACTGTCCCAGATTAGAAAACGCTTTGTGGCTTTTGTTAGGCTTCTTTGGATCCTTGCAAGGTGAATTTCTGGAACTGGCTCCCTCTGTTTACCAGCTGTATTATATATAATGTTTTTTCACCTACTATATGCCAAAACACTTGACTGTTAAGTTACAGAATGTTTTGATTCAGTTAATGAGAAAGATTAGTCTACTGCCTTCTGCCTTTCACCTGATTATAAGAGCAATATACTGCTAAGAGTCCCAGTTGATCAGCTTTTTGCTTGCTCTAAACTTCAAATGTTTATTGAAGTTCACTAGAAAATTGGTTACTGCCATTCTTTAAACTCTTGAGCATTGAAAGTTATAAAGTCATAGTGTTATTTTGTCAAAGCTATTACGTTCAATAATCATTACCCTATTATTTACTTCAATATTGTGCAGGTTGAAACTGGGAAAGCGATGTGGCAAGACGTTTGGAAGGCTGGTTTTAAAAGATGCTGATATAGGCTATAAAGGACTTGAAATGTACTCCATCAAATGACTATTAATTTGGCTCTCAGTTTCATCCCATTTGATTCTCCTTTTATGAGTATTAGAATTTCATCCCCTATGATACTCCTATGAGTATTAGAATGCACAAACATTCAGTGAGAATACATATTGATACAATACCAATATAATCAAAGTTTTGAAAGCTCATTTGTTTTTCTTCACTGTTATACATACTCTTGGAATAAGATATTATGCTTAGAAATACTCTGTTGGTACTACACCCTGAAGAATGTAGATGGCAGTTGCATTGTTAAAAAACAAAACCATGACATTTTTGGAAATACCGTATTGGCATTGGTAGCCAGCCAGCCAGCCACCAAGAAACTGGTGGACACAGTACTACTGATCACTTCTTCACATAAGAGAAAAAAAATTCAGGCATGCCATAAAGATACGATTGTAGTGCAGGTTATATGATACTTTTCCTAAGTTATATGATAAATTTCTGTGATGTTCTGATTTTTTTTTTTTGTTGGAAAAATAGATGTTTGTCTTATGTGCAGGTTGATGTTAGTTGACCAACTGTGATGACAAAGTAGTGAAAACTGCAGCTGACTTGGTTTTGCATCAATGTTTTGGACTTGGTGAATCTTTGCCATATAAAATTAAGATTCCTTCAACTGGAGGTGAGGGATTATTATGTATGACATTGATTCAACACTGCTCTTAGAATTTGATGTGGCATAACTATGAAATTTTAGGTAATAGCTTTTGTTTATTATCTGTGGACTCCTCCCTTTTTGCTGTTGTAATTATCTTAACTAAACACGCTGTGCAGTGGCTTGCCCGTTCATGAATTCTTTATCATTTATATCAGATTCTTCAGCTTATGAAAAGGTCATTCTAGTGAGGGAATAGGCCAAAGATGCTTTATTTTATTCTTCTAATTAGCATAATTATGATTAAGACTTTGCTTAATTAATTAAGTTTATGGTTGTCATTTCGATATTGTATACGTAATTCTTCTGTGAAAAAATATATTTTTTTCTGTCGGAAGTGACCAGAACCAATTTGAGAGATCATGTTCTTAGCTTGTGTATGGCTTTTGGACTTAATTAATCACCATAGCTTGAATCTTTCATTTTCAGTATCATATATTTAATATATGCTTCTCATCAGCATCAGACAGAAAAATTGGTTGCTTGTGGTTCATGCTAAGGGTGACTTTCGAGCCCCGTAATTGCTTTGTAAGCCTGAGTTTGAAAGTAGAGCCTCCATTGAACCCTGCAATCTTTGGAAAACAGGAAACAGTATCCTTTGACCATGTAAGTGTCCATAAGGGAACTCGAATCTCAAACCTTCTGGAAGTAAACCACAGGCATGATCATTCGGTTAAATCTTTATGCTGTTTTGAATGATGAAAATGAACTTTAGGATACACTTCGACTGCCAATTTTTTTATGATTGACATAATTTCAATACAAAATTATGCTAATTGCAACATGTTCAAAGTTCTAACCTGCTGTGCATGGGCAGACCTGAGATAACCATTTTTTTTTTTTTTTTTTTTTTGGTTTTTTAGTATTTTATTTCCCTTCAGAGTAGTTAATAGTTGGAAGCAAGAATGCTAGTTTCTTTCATCTTTGGGGACAGTGACATTGTAATTGACCTTGTATAATCTAATATAAAACAATCAGATCTGAATTTCTGGAAGCACATTTTGATGGTTTGATTGGCTGTTTATTATACCAATGAAAATAAGCTAACAAACGTATCTTACAAATTTTCTTTTATAAAATTAAAGAGGCAACTGATGGTTTATGATGAATTCATCAAACAGAAAAATTCAGAAACCAGTTATTAACTCTCACGTTGGATTTATGAGATCTGTTTGTCATTATTGTATTACCCTTCTTATACTGGGAAAAAGTTGAGAGGCTTTAAAACTCAGAAAAACTGCTACTGAAGAAAAATTAAATTTTATTATCATCATTTCTTACGTTATCAATGGCCCAGAGGCAGCATGAACGATTCGCAGCCTCGCAGATTAAACAATCAAAACCCCAGTTAAAAAATCATTAAACTAATTATAATTCTTAAACAAACATCATTAAAATATGATAAACCCCAATTGGGAGTTGTGTCAATGGATCTGTGATATTCAGATTCCCAATCCCGCTTGCCATTTTTATAATGTGGTGGAAGTGATTATGATAGGTAAGAGATGATTTCTGGGTGAATTAATTTAGATTATACAGCAGTTAATGTACTTCTCAATTGTGAGATTCTCTGTATCTTGAACTGCAATTTGTCATTTGAAATTAATAATTTAGGTTCTTGTTAGTTACTTTCATTATTATTATTANTTAGCTATCAGTGTGTTTAATCTTGTAATGCTTGATTAGAAAGAATAGCCGCTTAAGAGTAATTTTTCTAGAAATATTTTAAAATATAAGAAAATGTTTTATTATTGTTGATGCGATTTTTCGCATCAACAAGAAGTGCGTAGATCTCGTGAGGAAATCTACGCAAGAGTTTGTGATAAACTGATAATTTAGTGCTGGACTAATGCTAAAACGATAAATAAAGACAAAGAATAAATGATTTTTAAGGTGGTTCGGATGCAAAGAGCAATCTTACGTCCACTATTGTTTTATTACTTTTCTAGTGTGTTATTGTGAGTACAAGCAATCTCAATCCTAAACACAAATGAGGCGGTTTCACAGCAGGAAAATAATGTTCAAAGATTATTTCATGAGACTGATAGACCCCTTTATATATTTTTGCCTTGATGGACTTATTGGTGAAGTAACCCTTACAGAGAATGACACGCGGCTTGGGGTCGTCTTGCACATGAAATAACTCTCTCATGAGGTGACACACGGCCTGATTGTCAACAAGTTGATGTTTATCAATGAAGTAACCTTTGGTAAATTTACAAGTGAAGTAGCCCTTTAATAGGATGACACGCGGATTGGTGACAATGCCTTCCTGGGACACGTGGCGTGAATCCACGTAGGGTGGTTTGCTGTACAACAATTATATTTCTTATTCTTTCATGTAAAAGCACTGATTTTTTTTCAAAATTTGGACCAAGAATCCCAACGTAAATAACCTAACTTGAGATTTATCAAAGTATATACAAAGCATTTTAATTGAAACTCAAGTTGACAAATAGTCCACACCCAGGCCCTACAGAAAGCAGCTGTGAGTGCCGTCTTTCTTGAGTGGCTTTAATGTTTCACTTTTTTTTTTTTCAATGATCGGGATGTGTCAAACAGTCTATGCGTATCTAAACAATCTTTGAAACTCTGAAACTATTGGTTAAATAAGAGTTCAGTGGATACTCTATTAGCAACCGATGAGAAACTTGAATTCAATACTCTTGAGTAATACACTCAAGAATCCATATGACCACTGACCACGAGAGGTAGTCAATTTTATATCAATATAGTTTCTAATTCAAGGCACAATTGATGGTGCTTTTAATTAACTTTTAGATTTTAATGGACAAAACATATCTGCTAAAGCCTATACATAGGTAATGCAATACAAACAATAATTATCTATTAGATGGACATAACATATTAAAAAACAATAATGTTAGGTCCACAAACCTTTCCCACATAAATTGAATCAGTGTACGGGTAGTAAGGCACATTTGGGCAATGGGTTTCTTTCCTCTCGTAATGCTCCCCCATTTGGGCAATGAAAACACATTCAGGGATGTGGACCTCCTTGGAAGAACAAACAAATGAGCGATATAAATCTCTTTTGAGTGGTATGGAGATCTTTTGGCGATGTAAACTCTTGATTTAATCAATGTGGAATCCTTTGAGCAAAGTGGAACTCTTTTGAATTACCAAGTGGGCATTCGGGGCAAATTCATAACAATGAGACCGAGCGTTCGAGCACATTTGGTCATGCAAAACAAAAGGGCAATTTTCACATGAAAAGCTTTGGACACCTTTGAGTTTGTCACATGTCTTTTATAAAAATCCTCATAGTGTATGATATATAGTTGTTGATACTTGATTTTGACAACAACTATTCGCCACGTGAAAAATTAAGGGACTTAGAAGTACACCGATATGAGAATATTTAGTAAATAAAAGTGAAAAAATGTAAGTGGTTCGGATGCTCAAAAGCGAATCCTACGTCACTGATATTGTATTAATGAGTAAGGTCACGTCGATTCAGCGAACTGCGTTACAAATTAGAGAATACAAGAAAGAGAGAGAGAGAAGCTATTCTAGAGTGAATTTAGCTAATCCCGTAAATGAGAGGAAGTTTTATTTAAGTGGAAAGTCAAGGTAATGATTACTAAATCTGTAAGAGATAGGTACGTGCAAATCTCTCTGCGACTCATTGCTCTGCCTGAGTGATTTCCTCGACTTTTGTAGGGATGGACAGTGGACGATTTCCAACCATCCGCTAACTTGACACTCCACACTGCACTGACATGGCATGCCACATGCGTCATTGCGCGAATGGTGCATTTGAACGGTCTAAACCTCCCAAGTTCTAACAACCCTATGCTACAAGACTCTGCGTTAGCCCTACTTTTTCAGGCATAACAATAGTAAATCCTAGGAGATCAAGGTTAGCTTTTACGCGTCGATATGGCTCTGACGAGTTGTCGGGTAATTATGCTCTTCGAGAAGGGGGTGCTCAACGCATGAGAACTTTGTAGCGACGCCGGTCTGCATTGGGTGTTCACCTTTCCGTAGTGTTTTAAACAAACATTAGAACGACCATTTGAATATTAGACCATATGTCATAATATTTCATATCACAAATTGATGCAATTGTCAATAAATATTGGACTAGCGATTAGCATTCTCTTCATTTTGACTTATTGTTTCTGTTAAAAGAATAATGTGTATATGAATAAAATAAACAATACACAAAATCTAAAGGAGTGTAATTCAATTTGACGAACCCATGATATAAGATACCCTCTAATCTCCCTCCATCCATTCAACTTCATAACAACTGGCCTGGTCGCGATGAAGTGAATTTCAATTCAGATAACGAACCTGATGCTCAAGTCTATCAATCTATAATTACATTACTTGTATCTTTTACAGGAATTATTCCCATTCATTACAATCACACTCTTGCAGTCAGAATCATTGACAATTCTGCCAATTGGGTAAATTTTTATTTTTGATAACGAAAGTGTCTACGCAGTTTCATGTATTCTTAACTACTTTCAAGAATCTAGAACTACGATTAGATAAAGCTCCAATGGTTGCCCATTAGGCAATGGAAGGAGATCGAAACTCAGAACTCTGATAATACACCCAAGAGTCTTTATCGAACAATTCAGCATTAATTGGGTAATGTTTATCACTCAATATATATAAAAAAAAAACTCAAATCGTGAGAAGATCCTGATAATTATTAATAAGTACTATGAACAACTAGCTAGGGTTTGTTTTCCCAGAGAAAGATGTAGAATCTTAAAGGTTCCATATAAAGCTAAGTATTTTTTTGACCAATAATCCTCCTTTTTGGTACATATATGCCATTCAAGGGGACAAAAAAGGTTCCACAAAACAAAGAAAGTTTGCCTTTTATTGTATATTTTATCATTGATTGGTGAGCCATAAAGATCTGCTGGGAGTTCCAATCAAGTGATAATGAAAAGTAGTAGTTTGAAGAACCCATAACATATGCCCATCAATCACAGTGGTGTTTTCATTCAGAGTTCATTGCTCACCTTAAAATTTATGCTAAGCCACCCAATATTGATGTGCCGGTATTGAATGAGATACATTGATTGATATGAGCATTTAAGACTATCCCTTCGGATTTTGGCAATGACTCTATATATGATTGAAATGTATGAATTTAATTCCGAAATAGCGGAAAACAGGTTGTCGAGTAGTTGCAGCACGTATAAAATAAATATGATGTTAACGGATCCTCTCCATCTGAATTCATTTATACGAGTGCCTATCGTTACAGCTTTAGTATACTTAGTATTATTTTATATAGACTTAGACACTCATTCCATTTTATTATTTTTGGCTAATTTTAAGCATAAAATTGCATGATTTTAGTTCAGAAATGGACCATATTCATAGATATACAACTGGGTCAAGTGTACAAACACTCTTCAAAGTCTTGATAATAAGTTTCTTCTTATTCTTCCGGATTTGCTACTTTTATTTATTATTAAATTTTATATTATAAAATTCATAATTCTGAGGGCAAATGGTCATTGCATGGTCTGTTATCAGTATCAAATGGTAAGAAACAGTGGCTGGGACTTGATAATTTCCCACCCAGGGTGAAAAAAAAAATAATTGGCCTTTATTGTAACAGGTGCCTACCTTTTTTTTATTTGTATGAATCGAGGTGTTAGGTCAACTTATGTATACCTCAACTAATTCTTGGGACCTGAAAAACGGTCAGGTAAGAGTTTTAGTGGCTACCCCTATTAGCATTGAGGAGAGACTCGAACTCAAAATCTCTTGAGTAATACACCTAAAAATCTCTAAACGAACCATTTCAGGTGTCTAAGTGTAAAACTACATGATTTTAGTCCAAAATAGACCATACTCATATGATAACAACTGGGTAAGTGTCACAATTCTCTGAAAAGTCTTCTAAAATCCCATTGCAGACAAAATCTGAGCAATCAGCAAAAGTTTGACAATCATTTTGTTCAGTAATACCAAAAAACCTGTGTGTTTTCAAAAGTAAGCCATTAAGCCCTCTGCAACTTGAACCACACAGCTTGTGTTTGTCACTATTTGATTGATGGCAACTCTGTCGTTCCACTGTTTGATTGATGGCTGTTCAGCTCCAAGAGTGTAGAGATAAAGTTTCTGAGGCTCACAAAATTCACAAAAAATTAATTATACAACTCTTTAATTTGTCTTAAAAGAGAGGAAAAATCTAGGCCCTAACACATGATTGAGTATTTTAGATCCTTTCTTGATGCTCTTGTCCAAAAGATCTTTCATAATATTCTATTACTTCCGGAGGTGTGGCACAACTGATACAAACAAATTTCTTTAGATATGTGGCAATGAGCTTCTTGTCGTTTCATTTGTTTTCTGGCACGTTTCTTTGTTCTTGCTTCTGTGGAAAAAAGAGAGGAATATTATGGGTTCTTTAGACATTTGGGCCAATGAACTAACCCTATTTTCCCTGTGATGTAATTTAAAGATTATTTCATTCATGCTTAGAATTAAATTCATCTGTTTTGTTTAGAAAGTATAAAAAAATCTCTTAGAAAATTATCAAAACCCCTAATAAGAGTATTTAATAATTCTGAATGAAACGCATAATTAAATACTGAGCGATCTCACATGGAAGAAAATTAAATAGAATACCTCACTTGTCCAAGTAAGCTGCAAAAAAGGGTTGGATGTTTTTTCATAGTAATTGTTTAAGTATCCAAAGACTTTGTAGAGATGGGGACCAAAACATTAAATTAGGGAAGCATGCATGCTCATCTTTATGTCATTATGAATATGATCCTACCATTATATATTTTTAACTAAGATTTATTGAATGGTTAATTTATTATAAGAATAATATTACTGTGTAATTCATACAAACGGTTGTGTTATAATGTGATTAGATAATATTAAATTCAAGATAAATAAAAAAATTAAAGTAAATGATCAATTGCCATGTCAATTTGTATGGATTAGTTTATATACGTATCATTATTCTTATTATAGTCACCAAGTTTAAAAAAGCTAGAAAAAAAAGGATGACGACATAACTATTTATGGGTGATCGAATGGTTCGATAAAAACTTTTGGATGTATTACTCAAAAAGTCATGAGTTCGAATCCCTCCTCGATTGCTAATAGGATAGCTAATATTAATATTTAATACGCTTTTATAATTCTATATTCTTTTGAGTTTTAATTTTTTCAATTTTTATTTAAACTGTATAAAAGTGAAGAAATAAAAACTAAAGAGAATCTATAGAAATTATGTTAATTATAAGTAATTATATAAAATGGTTAATAAACATTACTATTTTTTATAAAAATAAAAACTGAAAAAAGAAATTTATAATTAGAAAAAGGGTATTATAGTCATTATAGTCTTTGAGGAGGAAATTACTATAAACCCATATATCACTACATACCATTAACGTATCCATCATACATGCATACATGAAAATTATATAGAACACTGTCTTCTCTCTCCACACCACTCCTTTCTTCTACAAAAACCAAACCACCATTTCTCCTTTCTTACAGATTCTTGATTCCACATTTCTTTCTTCTTCTCCCACCATGTCAACCCTCACTTGCTCCGTCTCTGACCTCGCTCCTCTTCTGGGAACCTCCTTCAATGACACCTCCGCCGCCGCCACTTATCTCTGCTCCCGCTTTCAAACCATCTCCAACTCTCTCTCCGACACCTCCTACGCCGTCAACTCCACTTATCTCCTCTTCTCCGCCTACCTCGTCTTCGCCATGCAGCTCGGCTTCGCCATGCTCTGCGCCGGCTCCGTTCGCGCCAAAAACACCATGAACATCATGCTCACCAACGTCCTCGACGCTGCAGCCGGAGCCATCTCTTATTACCTCTTCGGCTTCGCCTTCGCCTTCGGCGCGTCCTCGAATGGCTTCATTGGCTACCATTCCTTCGGCCTCGAAAACGTTCCTTCAAGCCAGACTGACTACAGCTTCTTTCTTTATCAATGGGCTTTCGCCATAGCCGCTGCTGGAATTACCAGTGGCTCCATTGCTGAGAGGACCCAGTTCGTTGCTTATTTGATTTACTCCTCCTTTTTAACCGGGTTCGTTTACCCAATAGTTTCCCATTGGTTTTGGTCCAGTGACGGCTGGGCCAGCCCGACCCGAGCAGACAACCTTTTATTTGGGTCTGGTGTGATCGATTTCGCAGGTTCGGGCGTGGTTCACATGGTCGGTGGGATCGCCGGGTTGTGGGGTGCTTTTATTGAAGGCCCGAGGATCGGTCGGTTTGACCGGTCGGGCCGGTCAGTGGTGTTACGTGGACATAGTGCATCGTTGGTGGTTCTCGGGACGTTTCTCTTGTGGTTCGGCTGGTATGGGTTTAACCCGGGTTCGTTTTTGACTATATTGAAGAGTTACGGTGAGAGCGGAGGGTATTATGGACAATGGAGTGCTGTAGGGAGGACAGCTGTCACTACTACATTGGCTGGGTGCACAGCAGCTCTAACGACCCTGTTTAGTAAAAGATTAATGGTGGGTCATTGGAATGTAGTTGATGTTTGCAATGGTTTATTAGGGGGTTTTGCTGCAATCACCTCAGGGTGTTCAGTGGTAGAACCATGGGCTGCAATCATCTGTGGGGTCGTAGCAGCTTGGGTTTTAATCGGGTGCAACAAGCTCGCGGAGAAACTTAAGTACGATGATCCACTTGAGGCGGCCCAATTGCACGGTGGGTGCGGGTCATGGGGCGTACTCTTCACGGGCCTATTCGCGAAGGAGGCATATGTGAACGAAGTGTATCCGGGGCGGCCGGGGAGGCCGTTTGGGTTGTTTATGGGTGGTGGAGGACGGCTCTTGGCTGCTCAGATCATACAAATTTTAGTGGTAGCAGGGTGGGTGACGGCTACTATGGGTCCACTATTTTATTTGCTACACAAAATGAAGTTGCTAAGGATATCAAGCGATGATGAGATGCAAGGGATGGATATGACGAGGCACGGGGGATTTGCATATGCTTATCATGATGAAGATGATCCATCAATTAAACCGGCGTATGTGATGAGGAGAATTGAGCCTACCAATGAATCCACCACACCAGATTATGAAATTTCTCCACCACCAACAAATGTGCATGTTTGATAAAAATAAGTGTTACAAAACACGTTGTATGATATTTTTATTTAGATGGGTAATTTTTAATGGTTACTAATAATGAATATACAAAGCATTTTAATTGAAACTCAAGTTGACAAATAGTCCACACCCAGGCCCTACAGAAAGCAGCTTGTTAGTGCCGTCTTTCTTTGACTGGCTTTAATGTTTCACTTTTTTTTTTTTTCAATGATCGGGAGTGTCCAAAACAGTCTATGCGTATCTAAACTAATCTTTTGAAACTCTGAAATTATTGGTTAAATAAGAGTTCCAGTAGATACTCTTATTAGCAACCGATGAGAAACTTGAATTCAATACTTCTTGAGTAATACACTCAAGAATCCATATTGATCCACTTGACCACCGAGAGGTAGTCAATATTTTATATTCATATTATGTTTCTAATTCAAGGCACAATTGATGGTGCTCTTTAATTAACTTTTAGATTTTAATGGACAAAACATATCTGCTAAAGCCTATACATAGGTTTAATGCGAATACAAACAATAATTATCTATTAGATGGACATAACATATTAAAAAACAATAATGTTAGGTCCACAACCTTCTCCCACATAAATTGAATCAGTGTACGAGTAGTAAGGCACATTTGGGCAATGCGGTTTCTTTCCTCTCGTAATGCTCCCCCATTTGGGCAATGAAAACACATTCAAGGGATGTGGACCTCCTTTGGAAGAACAAAACAAATTTGAGCGATATAAATCTCTTTTGAGTGGTATGGAGATCTTTTGGGCGATGTAAACCTTCTTGATTTAATCAATGTGGAACTCCTTTGAGCAAAGTGGAACTCTTTTGAATTACCAAGTGAGCATTCGGGGCAAATTCATTAACAATGAGACCGAGCGGTTCGAGCCACATTTGGTCATGCAAAACAAAAGGGCAATTTTCACATGAAAAGCTTATGGACACCTTTGAGTTTGTCACATGTCTTTTTATAAAAATCCTCATAGTGTATGATATATAGTTGTTGATACTTGATTTTGACATCAACTATTTCCACGTAAAAAATATTAAGCGGACTTAGAAGTTACACGCGATATGAGAATATTTAGTTAAATAAAAAGTGAAAAACAATGTCTAAAGTGGTTCAGATGCTCAAAAGCGAATCCTACGTTTACTGATATTGTATTAATAAGAGTAAGGTTACGTCGCATTCAGCGAACTGCGTTACAACTTAGAGAATACAAGAAAGAGAGAGAGAGTAAGCTATTCTAGAGTGAATTTAGCTAATCCCGTAAATGAGAGGGAAGTCTTTTATTTATAGTGGGATAAGTCAAGGTAATGATTACTAAATCTGCAAGTGGATAGATACCGTGCAAATCCTTCTCTACGACTCATTGCTCACCTGCCTGAGTTATTTTCTCGACTTTTGTAGGGATTGGACAAGTGGACGATTTCCAACCATCCGCTAACTTGCACTCACCCACTGCACTGACAATGGCATGCCACATGCGTCATTGCGCGACGTGATCACGTTTGAACAGTCTCAAAACCTTCCCAAGTTCTAACAACCCCATGCTGACAAGACTCTGCGTCAGCCCTACTTTTTCAGGCATAACAATAGTAAATCCTAGGAGATCAAGGTTAGCATTTTTACGCGTCGATATGGCTCTGACGAGTTGTCGGTGTAAATTATGCTCTTCGAGAAGGGTGGCTCAACGCATGAGAACTTTGTAGCGACGCCAGGTCTGCATTGGGTGTTCACCTTTTCCAGTAGTGTTTTAAACAAACATAAGAACTGACCATTTGAATATTAGACCATATGTCATAATATTTCATATCACAAATTGATGCAAATTGTCAATATAATATTGGACTAGCCGATTAGCATTCTCTTCATGTTTGAACTTTTTTATTTTCTGTTAAAAGAATAATGTGTTTATATGAATAAAATAAATCAATACACAAAATCTAAGAGGAGTGTAATTCAATTTGACGAACCCATGATATAAGATACCCTCTAATCTCCATCCATCCATTCAACTTCATAACAACTGGCCTGGTCGCAGATGAAGTGAATTTCAATTCAGATAACGAACCTGATGCTCAAAGTCTATCAATCTATCAATTTACATTACTTGTATCTTTTACAGGAATTTATTCCCATATTCATTCACAATCACACTCTTTGCAGTCAGAATCATTTGACAATTCTGCCAATTGGGTAAATTTTTCATTTTTTATTTTTTGATGACTGGGGGTGTTTGGTCTAGTTTATGCGTATTTCAATTAATCTCTAGAGACTCTAGAACTACTGATTGGATAAGAGCTCTAATGGCTATCCATTAGGCAATGGAAGAGGGATTCAAACTCAAGACATCTAGAGTAATGTACCCAAGAGTCCTTATCGAACTACTCTAACCACCCAAAAGTAGTTAATTGGATAACGTTTATCACTCAATTATATATATAAAAAAAAAAAAACTCAAATGGTGAGAAGATCCTGATAATTATCATAATAAGTACTATGAACAACTAGCTAGGGTTTGTTTTTCCAAGAGAAAGATGTAGAATCTTAAAGGTTCCATATAAAGCTAAGTATTTTTTTGGACCAATCAATCCTCCTTTTTGGCTTACACTATATGCCATTCAGGGGGACAAAAACAGGTTCCAAAACACAACGAAAGTTTGCCTTTTATTGTATATTTTATCATTGATTGTTGATGCCATAAAGATCTGCTGGGAGTTCCAATCAAGTTGATAATGAAAAGTAGTAGTTTGAAGAACCCATAACATATGCCCCATCAATCACATGGTGTTTTTCATTTCAGAGTTCATTGCTCACCTATAAAATTTATGCTAAGCCACCCAATATTGATGGTGCCGGATATTGAATGAGATACATTGATTGATATGAGCATTTAAGACTTATCCCTTCGGAATTTCTGGCAATGACTCTATTATATGATTGAAATGTATGAATTTAATTCCGAATATGCGGAAAACAGGTTGTCGAGTAGTTGCAGCACGTATAAAATAATAATATGATGTTAACGGATCCTCTCCTTATCTGAATTCATTTATAACGAGTGCCTATCGTTACAGCTTTCCGTATACTTAGTATTATTTAAATATAGACTTAGACATCTCATTTCATTTTATTATTTTTGGCTAATTTTAAGCATAAAATTGCATTATTTTAGTTCAGAAAATGGACCATATTCATAGTATAAAAACTGGGTCAAGTGTCACAAACACTCTGAAAAGTCTTCTAATAATAAGATTTTCTGATTATTCTTCCGGATTTGTTAACTTTTTTTTTTAATTAATTTTGATATTATAAAATTCATAATTCTGAGGGCAAATGGGTCATTGCATGGTCTGTATCAGTATCAGATGGTAAGAAACAGTGGCTGGGACGTTGATAATTTCCCCAACCAGGGTGAAAAAAATGTAATTTGGCCTTTATTTGTAACAGGTGTCCATCTTTGTTTTTTTTTTTTTTTTTTTTAAGGAATCGACGTGTTCAGGCTAACGTATGTACACCTTAACTAATTTTTCAGGATCTTAAAACTATTGATTGGGGTAATAGTTTTAGTAGCTACCTTTATTAATAACTAAGGAGAGACTCAAACTCAAAACTTTTTAAATAATATACCAAATAATCTCTAACAAATAATTCGATTACCCAGAGATAGTCCAAGTCTCTTGAATGTAAAACTGCATGATTTTAGTCCAAAATAGACCATACCCATAGTATAACAACTGGGTCAAAGTGCACAAATACTCTGAAAAGTCTTCTAATAATCCCATTTGCAGACAAAATCTGAGCAATCAGCAAAAGTTTGACAATCATTTTGTTCAAGTAATACCAAAAAACCTGTGTGTGTTTTCAAAAGTAAGCCATTAAGCCCTCTGCAACTTGAACCTCACACAGCTTGTGTTTGTCACTATTTGATTGATGGCAACTCTGTCGTTCTCACTGTTTGATTGATGGCTGTTCAGCTCCAAGAGTGTAGAGATAAAGTTTCTGAGGCTCACAAAATTCACAAAAAAATTAATTATACAACTCTTTAATTTGTCTCTAAAAGAGAGGAAAAATCTAGGCCCTTAACACATGAATTGAGTATTTTAGATCCCATTTTCTTGATGCTCTTGTCCAAAAGAGTTTCTTTCATAATATTCTATTACTTCCGGAGGTGTGGCACAACTGATACAATACAAATTTCTTTAGATATGTGGCAATGAGCTTCTTGTCGTTTCATTTGTTTTCTGGCAACGTTTTCTTTGTTTCTTGGCTTCTTGTGGAAAAAAGAGAGAGAATATTATGGGTTCTTTAGACATTTGGGCCAATGAACTAACCCATATTTTCCCATGTGATGTAATTTAAAGATTATTTCATTTTCATGCTTAGAATTAAATTCATCTGTTTTGTTTAGAAAGTATAAAAAAATCTCTTAGAAAATTATCAAAACCCCTAATAGAGAGTATTTAATAATTTCTGAATGAAACGCATAAGTTAAATACTGAGCGATCTCACATGGAAGAAAATTAAATAACCTCACTTGTCCAAAGTAAGCTGCAAAAAAGGGTTGGATGTTTTTTCATATTAATAGCTATCAGTGTGTTTAATCTTGTAATGCTTGATTAGAAAGAATAGCCGCTCAAGAGTAATTTTTCTAGAAATATTTTAAAATATAAGAAAACGTTTTATTATTGTTGATGCGATTTTTTGCATCAACAAGAAGTGCCTAACAAGAAGTGCGTAGATCTCGTGAGGAAATCTACGCAAGAGTTTGTGATAAACTGATAATTTAGTGCTGGACTAATGCTAAAACGATAAATAAAGACAAAAAATAAATGATTTTTAAGGTGGTTCAGATGCAAAGAACAATCTTATGTCCATTGTTATTTTATTACTTTTCTGGTGTGTTATCGTGAGTACAAGCGATCTCAATCCTAAACACAAATGAGGCGGTTTCATAGCAGGAAAATAATGTTCAAAGATTATTTCATGAGAGCGATAGACCCCTTTATATATTATTGCCTTGATGAACTTACTGGTGAAGTAACCCTTACCGAGAATGACATGTGGCCTGGGGTCGTCTTGCACATGAAGTAGCTCTCTCATGAGGTGACACACGGTCTGATTGTCAACACAAGTTGATGTTTATTAATGAAGTAACCTTTGGTAAACTTACAAGTGAAGTAGCCCTCTAACAGGGTGACACGCGGATTGGTGACAATGCATTCCTGGGACACGTGGCGTGAATCCACGCAGGGTGGATTTACCATACAACAATTATATTCGTTATTCTTTCGTGTAAAAGCACTGATTTTTTTTCAAAATTTGGACCAAGAATCCCAAGGTGAATAACCTAACTTGAGATTTATCAAAGTTTTGTTTTACATTTCATTATAATACTCTTATAGTTTCCAATTTATTTCCTAAGGGTAAAACTACATTTACAAATCATTCTCACCAACTTTTAATAAAAAAAAAAAAAAAAAAAATAAAAATAAAAAAATAAAAAAAAAATAAAACAAAAAAAAAAAAAAAAAAAATTAAACAAATAAAAAATAAAAAAAAAAAATTAAAAAAAAAAAATAAAAAAAAAAGATTAAAAAAATAATAAATAATAAAAAAAAAAGTAATGTGACATGACCATTTGAGCAAGAATTCCAAATTGGGCTTGTAGCTTCATATTGAGGCTTGAGCCCATAATAAACTAATGGGCTTCAGTTTGAACAGTTAGAGTATTTCTATTGCTCAAAATTAAAACCTATGATAAGAAGATTGTACTTAGGTATATTTTATTTTGCTAAAAATATGATTTCATATTATTAATTAACTCTTATCGTTCCTGTTAACATAACAATCCTAACACACAAAATTTCATTACTAGTATTAGTGCAAACTCAACACATGTCTTAAGATTGTTCCTTCACTCCCCCAAATCTTTGCCAGGCCAATCATTTTTCTTTTATTCATACAACAACTATTAACCACTCAAATCTAGGCACCATTCAATGGAAAACCTCACATCCATCTGCATGTTTTCACCTCTACCATTATTTCACTAATATTTGTTTAATTATCTCTCGTCGTCCCCAAAAAATTTTCAGTCCCTATAACACCATGGAACATTTCAAATACTACATGCTATTTGCATTATTCATCATCATCTCTAGCATTCCAGGCTCCTTTTCTGAGATCAAGAACACTCACATTATCGATGATTCGCGGTCGATGATCATATTCGAGCGTTTCGGATTTGCAGAAGGTGGCAAGACGGCTATTACCATCAGGGATATTTCATGGAAAACAAAACAACCAAATGCAGAACTCAAACCTTCTTCCCTGGGATTTTTCCTCGCCAGGGACATTGCATTTCCGAAAATTGTGAATGAGTCTGAGTACACTGCTGACTTTTGTGTTTTATCAAGCAGGTATGTGAAATTGGTCTACAGAATAGAAAAATTTGTGCCTAATTCAACCTATGCCGGTTCTGTAGCCATCGATGATCCTGATGAATATATTTTGCTTTTCGGAAACTGCCAGCCCGAATTTCAGGTCTCCATGGATGTTGAAACTGAAATGTATAATATGAAAGATGGTGCAAAAGATTATCTCCCTGCAGGGGAAACACATTTACCAAAACTTCATCTCATTTTCTTCCTCATTTACACATGTTTTTTCGGTTTGTGGGTTTACATTTGCATCAAAGAAAGACAAACAGTTGATAAAATCCATATGATAATGGCTGCATTGCTTCTTGTAAAGGCCCTGAAAATGATCTGTGCCTCCGAGGACAAAATGTATGTGAGCAATACTGGAACTCCCCACGGTTGGGATGTGGCATTTTACATTTTCGGATTCTTCAAAGGCATAATGTTGTTCACTGTGATAATCCTGATAGGCACTGGCTGGTCATTCCTGAAACCATACCTTCAGGAACGCGAAAAAAACGTTTTGATGACAGTAATTCCTTTACAGGTTCTGGAAAACATAGCTTATGTTGTGATCAATGAAACTGGACCTTCAACAAGAGATTGGATGGCCTGGAATCATATGTTCTTGTTGATTGATATCATTTGTTGCTGTGCTGTATTTTTTCCGATAATTTGGTCGATAAGAAGCCTGAAAGAGGCATCAAAAACAGATGGAAAAGCGGCTAAGAACCTGGAAAAATTAACCCTTTTCAAGCAATTCTACATTGTTGTGGTGGGATATTTATATTTCACAAGAATTGTGGTTCCTGCAATAGGGGCGACTGTATATTACAGATATGAATGGATTATGAATGCGGCGGCGGAGGGAGCGAGCCTGGCGTTTTATATGTTCATTTACTACAATTTTAGGCCGGTTGAGAAGAATCCATATTTAGTGATTGATGATGAAGAAGAGAGCGAAGCAGTAAGGCAAATTTTGGAAGAGGATGATACTTTTGAACTTTGATTTAGATTTACAAAGGCTTTTTCTACATGTATTGAAGTAGCTGGCTAGTAGAAGGTGTTGTGATTTCTGAAGAGTTTGGTTTTGTAGAATGACTGTAAACAAGAATCTTAGACAAATTAAGTCGATTCTTCCAATTTTTTATTTTTTATTTTTTTTTATTTTGGTTTTTTCTCTTTTTACTGTATATCAAAAGATAAAGAGAAAGTGATTGTGATTGTTTGAAGACTAATTTTAGATTTATCTAATTATTATTACTTAAATCCAATCATCTAAATTGTTTCTTGGAATTATTTTTGAATTGTAGAAATCTTAACTATATGCTATGCGTATATGGTATAGTATAAAACATTAATTTAACTGTGAGGTTCAGAAAATAAACTGAGATTCATGTCTAAACTTTCACATATTTATATTAATTATCTGCTATTAAATCAATTAAGAAATCTTGTTTGCTCAAATTCAAGAAAAATATAGATTGCATCACAAATATAGCAAATTCCATGTATCAACAAAACCAAATTTAACCCATTATTGGGCAGCCCATATGGTTAGGATAAATTTATAATAGTGTGGATAAACGTATGGTCTCAGGTTCGATTCCCCATTTTAGTATCTGTGATTTAAATGAGGGATTGTGACGGTAGGTTATTGTGCTAGTCTCTCATAAGGATTAGTCGAGTTGTACGTAAACTAGTTCAAACATCTTAGTTACAAGGAAAAAAAAAAAAAAAAGCAAATTTGGAGATATTCTATTTAGTGTCTTTTTCTGAATGAGTAATGCTAGGTCCATAACTCAATCTCACAACCATTGACGTGATAGCTCGTAATTGGTCAGCTCACAAATAGGCCCCGCTGTCTATTTGTAAACTGACCAATTACGAACTGTCACGTCTGAGGTTGTAAGAGAAGGTTGTGAGATTGAGTTATGGACCTAACATTTTCCGAATATATATATTCGAAACCAATAAAGATTTGACTCAACTTAATCTTACAAACTTTCTCTCACAATCCTAATGTGACAGTTCGCAGTTGGTCAGCTTGCAATGGGGCAGGTGAGACCCATTGTAGGTAGGACTTATTATGAGCTGACCAATTACAAGTTGTCAAGTCGAGGTTGCGAGAAAAAGTTTGTAAAATTAGATTGTAAGTTATCAAGTCGAGGTTGGGAGAAAAAATTTGTAAAATTAGATTGTAAGTGTAGTATTTTTTATTCGAAAATTCCAAGTTATGTATGTTTTTTAGTTTTTTGCCGTATAAAACATAAATTACTTACTAACTGTTGTATTTTGCATTTCGTGAAGCTGGTTTTTACGTTAAAAACTTCAAATATTCGCACCAAAGATTAATTTTTTATATCTTTATCTAAGAATATGAAGTATGTGTTGGGATTTTGAACTTTAGTTCAAAGTTGTTTAATGCATTGAAAGTGTTTGATCAAACAAGTCATTTTAATTGAATAATTAAAATAGCATATTTAATATAAAAATCAAAAAAATATTTTATTTCTGATTTTAAGAAGCTCTATGATTTAATTTCAGCCAAAGAGGAAAGCAATTTTAATTATTATAAAAAACTAATATAGGTATAATAGAATTACTAAGCACACCCTTTCTTTAAATACTTTCAGAAAACAAAAACAAATAGAAAAGCCTATCTTCTTCCATAAATTAATTATTATTATTATGTTATCCTTTAAAAAGCAAGTCTTGAAGCCATGGCAGCTCAAGCTCAGTTTCACTTTCTTCTTCTTCAACTTCAACCTCATACGCCCTTCACTTCCTGTTCACTAAACCCCGGCACATTTACCAACACTAAATTTTGGAGTTGTTGCCCTGTGAAATACCGCTCTAAATGGGACGCCAACGCCGGACCCACACCCTCTGGACGCTCCAGATTCAATCACGAAGATGATGGGTTTTACTCCGACGCTGATGATGACCCCGGTGGTTTCTCCACGAAGCAGAGAATCTGGTGGTCCGAAAAGGACAGTGATTTTGATTTTGATAATCCATGGGAAGTTGATGAGGAAGATGAGTTTTGGATTTTTAAGGTAATTATAAAATAAAATTTTCTTTTTTGTTCTTGAAATTGTTTGAATTAGTAATTGTTTCAGTTCAATTTCGGTTACTTAGTTGCTTGAATTAGATAGCAGAGAAATGTGATAAAATTGAATGAGGTGCCTATGGAAAAATTTACGTTTTCTTTTAATTATATTTGAAGCATGTTGAAATCTTATAAATAATTTTCTTAGAAAAATCTTTGATATTATCTTGTTCTGTTTGCTAATCCTGCAGTTGAGATCAATTATAAACAATTTAAGTTTTCACTATGCTTGGTAAGATCCATATTAGCTGAAATTCATTCCAAAAGCAGTTGTCTTCGCCAAGCATAGAACTTCAGCTGTCCACTTTGTTCATTTTATGGGGCAGGTCATTCGGGTTTTAGAAAACAGAAGGGTACCTAAGGGAAAGATTGGGAGAAATTTATACTAATTTAATCACTTATCTCTCGACTTGCATCGCTACATTTTTGTAAGTTAGTACATACTTGACAACAATGAACCAAGCATAAAGCATCAAAAGTACTTACAGGGTATTTGCAAAATTTCTTGTGGCATAACACATTAGTTAAATTCCATTTGTTTGATTATTATGCTGTGACGCGATGATTGGTCAAGGGAGAGACTTTAAATTTGTATATCCATCTTCTACATCATTATTTCCCTTTTTCTTATATTTGCTGCTAGGACAACTTCAAGAACTTAAGAAGTTTTAGTAACATAACTTATCAAACAGAAAGGGCAGTAAATGGTTCTTAATTCAAAGAACTCTTCTACTATTAGCAGGTCACGCTGACTTTTGTGGAAGTCAACAAAATTTTATGTGGGTTAATATAAAGGAGTAAATAGTACAATTTCCAGAGTATTCTGCCATGTTGAAATTATTTGCTTTGCTTAGTAGTACAGTTATCCTAGGGATGTAAGACTGCGGACTGTGGTGTGTGGGAAATGTTTCTGTCCTACTTGTTTACTTCTAGATGAATGCTTATGATAGCAGTGAGGGTAAGGTGGTGAATAGCTAAATTCGAAAAGCTTAAAGAAAAATGAAGCTTTACTGTAACTTGCTACCACTATCAAACTTCCTTGACAATACATGCAAGTCTTGTGCCTTTTCATTTTGCGCTGTATTCTTCTGACCCTTTATTTAGCTCATTTGCAGTTTGCCAATATTGTTCAGTTTTAGTTCTCCCAAGCAGTAAATTATATCCTTACCATATATCAAGTATACTTGAAAATTTTAGATTTATGTCATGTTGATCCCTTACAGAATTCATGATAATTTGCTACCATCTGCAGATACTTAGAGCTTTTGGTTGGATTTTTCCAGCCATTGCCATATCATTGTTGTTGGGAACAGGCCCCAATGCCTTCTTAATGGCACTAGCAGTTCCTCTAGGACAGTCATTAGTCTCTCTTGCAGTTGATAAAGTTTGGGGGAGTGCAAGCAATAAACCAAAATCCAGATCCAGGACCAAGAGCAGAAGAAAACCTTTTGCAAGAGCTACAAGAAATAGTAAAACAAGCCAGGTTAAACAAGAAAATGAGGCTGGCAAAGGTAGGGGAAGTTATCAGTCATGGGTGGCAACAGACGGTGGTTCATATGAGAAAGATGGCAAAAGTGGCCCGAGATTTGGTGGTTGGGATGAGCTAGACAAGAAAGTTGGAAACGAGAAAGCCGCTAAAAGCTCAGCAAGTCAAATCGAAAACGAGCTACCAAAGCACCAGAAGAAAGGTAAACTGAGTAGGATAGGGAGAATGAGAGACAAACCATTGTTGTTGAGGTTGCTGATCGCCGTTTTTCCATTCTTGGGTTCATGGACAAAATTGCTATTTTGATTGTGTATGACCTCTTCAATCTTGGATGTCACTCTGTTCCCTTTTGCTTCGAAGTTGTAGGAGAGATTTGGACGGTTGATGGTTATAGGGAAACAGATATATGAACAATTCTTATATGTGGTGCTTTTTCCTGAAACGAAGTGAATCATTATTGGACTTATCTTGACGCCAAGTGAGAAATAAAATGAATGTCATTTATAAATTATAATAGCTTAGCTAATTTATTGAGCACATTCCTTCCTCATTATTTTGTGGACAGAAAAGGGATATGATCTTGACATTGAATCTTGTATTTATTACTTGTTGTATAATACTTGTATTTTTCTTATATAAACAAATGTACATTTTCTATGCTAGACTTTCACATAAGCAAAGGTTTATTATTCACAAAGAGCAATGTGAAAAACCAATTATTTGGTGTTGGAAAGTAGTAGTTATTTATAATGGCTCCCTGCCTCCCTTATTTAGAAATGCTTTCATAATTTTGGAGCCATGTATGGTGAGTGTGATCATTCTCCACTTCGAATGTAAATTAAAATAAAGTTAAGAGTCTCTTTAGGAAAAATTTAAGAGTTTAGTAAAAAGTAGTTAAGTTTAAGATTGAAACAGGAAACGTAATTTTAACAAGATTTGGACTACACTTGTTATAAATTCATAACGCTCGTCTTTAACCCTTTCCTATAATTTTTTGAGTAAACGACAAATTCCCTACCCAGGTTTAGTGAAATCCCAAGTTGATATTATTGGTTGCATTTATTCCTAATTCGCACCTTTAAACTAACACCATTGATGATTATTAGAGTTGGTCGAAAATGGTGAGTGAGGTCGAAAAAAAGGAATGGGCTTTGCAGAGGAGGTTGTGGGAGTCCAACGATGGTCACGGAAGTAATTTTGAACTTTGAAATCGGTCGGAAAAAGCAAAAAACCACCTACTTGAATGCTGCTAACTTGAGCATTTTTTGCTAAAATGAGCTAATGTTATGCCAAAGAAAGCATCGAAGCACTTTAGTATGCTAACGTGCACCGTGCTATAGTGAGAAGTTAGGAATCTGTTAAAATAAAGGAAACAAGCGTTACTTTAAGGGTGAGAATCTAGAATAAATGCAGTCAGGGGTATCAACTTGGGATTTCTCTAAATCTCAAGTGGGAATATGTCGTTTGCTCTAATTTTTTTTACGGCTATACAGTATACAGTATTCTGTCTTCTACGCTCTTCACTTGTGATGTAGGAATATTACTTGATTTCTTATTCTATGATTTATTGTTTAAGTAGTATTAAGATTTTTATTTATTATTTTAGCGGTATTATGATTCTAATTCATTGTTTTAGTAGTATTGAAATTCTAATTCATTGTTTTAGTAGTATTAAGATTTCTTATCTACTTTTCCTAGTAGAACTATGATTAGTCAACTATAAATAGGTTTGTTATGCGCCTAGTTATTCATTCAAGTTTTCGATAAAGTCTCTTACTACTTTGGGGAATTTATCTCTATCATATTTTCGAAATCAACCACTCGAGTCCGAGCCTTTCGCTGCGTCAACTTGTAAGTTTTTTCGTTCCTTTATGCTTTGTTCTTTCTCTTGTTCTAAGTTCTTTACGTTGTTCAGATTGTTTCTTTTGTCTTTGTTTATGTTTCCTTTGTGTTCAGTCGGGGGTATGAGAACAGTAGAAAAGGGTGTTTCATACTTTCACTTAGCAAATAAATCATAAATTAATGAGAAAAAATCATGAGAATATAAAAATTAAATATAAAGATAGACTATTTTTTTTTTTTTATATATATACATAATGGGGGATAAATAAAATTAAAAAATACATGATTATAGAATTAATATGCAGAAACTTGAGAGAAAATACATTTAGATAAGATATTTCTAAAGATCAAACATAAAATTGGATTAGACATCTATGAGAAACAAAACGCAATTTTGTTTTCCTTGATCTTAAAAGAATATATATTTTTATATATCAAAACTATATATATATACGCTAACAGTTAATTTTTATGTGCATTCTAGTTTGATTTATTTATTTTTGTTTCATTTGTTAATTGTATTATTATATATTTGGGCTTAAAGCCAATTATATTTGGGCTCACGGTATAGTCTAGGCTTTTCGGGTTGTTTTTTTGTCCCACATCATCAAATTAGTGGAATCAGTATTCCTATCGAATAGTTTATATGTGTAGACTTTTTTCACTAAAAATTAACTTAGTTTCATAGCCTTCTCTTTCACAAAAAAATAACTTGGTATCAGAACCTTCTCTTGTACGATCAGATCGTTAATTTTGGTCATCTTACGCCATCAATCTCCTCAAGTTTGTTGGTAATTTTCTATTTTCTTAGATCTAGGAATCTTACTATTTTTTTAGATCTAGGGTTTTCTAGGTCCATTGCGGATCTTGCTATTTTTTTAGCTCAATTAAGATCGTAGTGGTCTTTTTGTAAGTTTTCAAACCTATATAATCTTGCTATTTGCCCAGATCTAGCGTTTTATAAGTCCGCCGCTTACCTGCTATTGCTTAGATCAATTCAGATCGCAGGGGTCTCTTTGTAATTTTTAAAACCTATAGGGTACTATTGTTTAGTACCTTTTTTTTTTTTTGTGAATTGTTCATTTAAAAATTAAAAGATACCCATTTGTCCTGCATCGCAAAAATAATGAAAACTAACAAAACTCAGATCTAATAATCACGAGCGTCTCTCTTCTATCGAAAAAGGTCGGTCAGATATCTTCGTTTTTTTAATTTTTTTTTAATTTTCTGCTCTTAATTTTGTTATTTGTCGGATCTAGTTTTTGCTTTTTTAATAAATGTTTGCTGCACAGAAGTTTAAATTTTGCTTTTCTTTTCGTTGTTTTTCCCTTGATAATTGACTTTCTGTTTGGTTGGTGAGAAAACAAAATAATTCCCGGTATTTTCTCTGCTACCAAAAAAAGCGTAAAGTGTATGTAGTGCTATTCAATTCTCTGATCATTGAATCAGTTTTTCTCTGATCGCTTCTGTATTGTTTCGTTCTTTGATTTCGTCTAGGTTACTGCCTTTAGGATGATTTTCTGCTTATTAAGATTGGAAACTTTACATTCTGCATAATTCACACCGATAATTATCTGCTCCAAAACTATTTGTTCCTGATAATTCACTGACTTTTTTTTTTTTTTTTTCCTGCGTAGTTATTCTTTCTTAACTCCTGAAGCTTGGACCACCGTTCAGCTACATTTCCATTTGGCGGTTGTGGTTATGCTTTACCTTCTCCGTCTTCGTCTTCATTGAAGACTGTTATAATTGTGGCGAAGAGCAGCAAAAAGTCCCCGAATTCTTCCCCAAACGTTTGCCCTATTAGAAAAATGAATGAATTTATGAATTAGAGGCAATTCCTTTAGCAGATTCTACACTTTTTCTTTAAGGGCTTGTTCAGTGAAGTTAATTTAGTTACTAGAAAGGCCGGAAATGGAGTTGGGGAATTAGTCTAGACGCAGTTATAATGTGGTCATAGCAAGGGAAATTGGACGAAGCGAATAGTTTGTCGGAATGGATGATTCAAAAAAGTGTGTATGCTGATGTTTATACTTACAACATTTTAATGAATGATTATTGCTTGGTAGATAAAATTGGTGATACAAGAAGTTGTTTGATTCTATAACTAGACAAGGGGTATTGACCTGATGTTGTTTGCTAGTCATACCCCCTTTCTAGTTATATATTCAAACAACTCCTTTGCATCACCAATTCTATCTGCCAAGCAATAACCATTCATTAAAATGTTGTAAGTATAAACGTCGGGATCCACACTTCTTTGAATCAGCAATTCCGACAACCTATTTGCTTCGTGCAATTTCCCTTTCTGCAAAGTTCATCTATGACCACATTATAAGTGACTGTGTCTGGACTAACTCCTAGAGATACGAACGGAAAATAGAGATATAAGTTTTCTTTTTACAAAAAATTAGCGTGGATCCTGAAGCGGCAAAACTTAAGAGAGAACTAGAGTCTTATGAGAAGAGGAATGGTTCTACTTTAGCCTTCTTTAATTCGCTGTGTGTGTTGAGGAAAGAGAGATTAATGATCATAACACAGGCAGAGGAAATTTCTGATTCTTCAGTAAATGAACATAATAGATTGATTTCTGATTCTTCCGTGCTTGTAGAATATAAGAATTGTATTTAAATTGTAAAATTAAGTGAAATATTCATTTGGGTTAATTAAAAGAATTGAAAATTTTAATAATAGAGTGATTTCATTGGTCTCCACTTTTTATCAATTTAGACATATAGCCATTTACCTCACCTATTTCAAATATAGCCATTTTATTTATATTCTTTATCCATTATTTCCACCCAATATTCATCATGTCCAGAAACAATTATCACTACATTACAAATTACAATTGTAGATATGAGTTTATTTAAAAATATAATCAAATAAGATGAACTCAACAATTAAAAACAAAATTGATTTTATGCAAACATTAATTATCAAATCAAATTAAATAGCTATTATCTTTTATGTCTTATTTAATAATTGTTTATAAAGGATAAAATTGTAATTAAAATAATAATAATTGGGATAAAAATTGTAATATTTTGAACTTAAATCAACTTACTTGGAAAACACTTGATGGGCTGCTGATGTGCATCTTTCTAATATTTGTATCACCATCGAGTTACTTGCTCTGGCAGCAGCAAGATAGAGTGGAGTTTCCCCCAAATTATTAGCCGAATGATGAAAATCAGGGTCTCCATTCTCTGTTAATATTTTTACCACATCGAAGTGACCATGTCGCACAGCCTCATGCAATGCAGTGTTATTTTCATAATTGGTCATCTTCAGCATCTCCCACTCAGATCTTAACCCACTCTCTGAATCTCTCTCTTCCTCTCCAGTTTTCGTGCTTTGAATAAGAAGTTTCACTATAGTAGAATGGCCGCAACATGAAGTGGAGCATCACCTTCCGCATTGACTTGCAGTAGTAATGATGGACACATTTCAAGTATTTGTGACATTCATTATCTTGCAGGGTGAAGGTGATTAATGATATGCTATGCTTGTCCCAACAATAACATTAGAAAGAGAAAACATTTAATCTTTCCATGTGTTTTATGAGCATATCAGGACAAATATTCATATTCATATGCATATCCATTACATTTCATTTCAAGGTTATATCATATCACCCCCTTCCATTATTTCATACCAATTTATATACAAAAAAACATTAATAAAGTTGGCTTTATGGATATATATTCTTGAAGGATTTTTATTCATTTTAATTTAATTTATTTTCTTGTTAGTTAATCAGTGATTCAGTGGAAACCTTTTGATTTGACATTACTGAAACTATTTTGTAGGTAAAATCACACTACACTCCACGAGATACACTATTTTAAGCCCCTCCCCTACTATTTTTAGAGTTATCGAAATCTTCCACCAAAGCACCAGAAGAAAGGTAAACTAAGTAAGATAGGGAGAATGAGAGACAAACTGATACGAACAAATCTAAGAATTTTAATAGAGGAAAGAAACAGTAGACTTGTTGGCTTATATGAGGAACCAACGCCTCCCAAATAACTCTAAGTGAGTCTATAACAAATGATCGCCCCTTTATTGAATACTTCTGAATAATTTATACAACTCAAATGATAACCAACTCTAGAAAAATAAGGAAATAACAAAATAGCAGGACTTGCAGCTACAACGTTTACTTCCTAACAACCAAGTAAATAAAATAACAAATTAACCAAAAACTTAGGAAACAAATAACCAAGCACCGAAAAGATAGCCACTACTTAAATGGTTGTAACATTCCCCTCCCCTTGAAAATGATCCTCGTCCTCGACGATAAACTCTGGAAAATGTTCTTGTAAAATATCACCAACTTCCCATGTAGCATCTGCAGGAGACAAACCTTGCCAATGAATCAAAAATTCAGTTTTTCCCTTTCGAAACCGTCGATCAAGCATCGCCTGAGGACAAGATACCAACTTATCCCCATTAAGTTCAGGCAAAATCTGCATAACTGACTGCCCCTCTCCAACCTTTGCCTTAAGAATAGAGACATGAAAAATAGGATGGATTTTTGAAGAAGGCGGAAGTTTCAATCTATAAGCGACCTTACCAATTCTCTCCAGTACTTCAAATGGGCCATAAAAACGAGTTGAGAGCTTGAGATTTTTACGAGCTGCCATAGTTAATTGGCGGTAAGGTTGTAGCTTCAAATAAACTTGATCTCCCACCTGAAACTCACGTTCCCTATGCTTGGAATCATAGACCATTTTCATTTGACCCTAAGCTCGAGTAATACAAAGGTGTACTTCTCGCAAAACCTGGTCTCAAGAGATCATCTCTTGCTCGACTGCCTCCATCTTGGCAATTCTTGGAACATAATTAAGCAACCGTGGAGGACTCTTGCCATAAACAACTTCGAATGGAGTTCTTTGAATTGAGGAATGCCAGCTTGTGTTGTAGCAGTATTCAGTCCAAGAAAGCCACCAAAGCCACTCCTTTGGATAAGAATGGTGAAACAACTAAGGTACATTTTGAGTGTTCTATTAACCACTTCGGTCTGCCCGTCAGTCTGAGGGTGGTAACTAGAGCTGAAATTAAAAGAAGTACCATTCAAACGGAACAACTCCTTCCAAAAAGCACAAGTGAAAGTTGGATCTCTATCACAAACAATAGACTTGGGCATTCCATGAAGCTTAAATACATTATCAAAAAATAATCGTGCTACACCCACCACTGTATAAGGATGTGAAAGAGGAACAAAATGGGCATATTTTGATAGTCTATCAACTATGACAAAGATAGTAGTTTTACCATTAGAAGCCGGAAATCCATCCACAAAATTCATTGAAATATCTTCCCATAATCGAGCTGAAATCGGAAGTGGCTGCAACAAACCAGCAGGAGCTAATTGTTCCACTTTGTGCCTTTGACAAACATCACAGCTTCGAATAAATTCTTTGACATGCTTCCTCATTCCCTTCCAATAAAAAGTGGCTTTGATTCTTCGAAGGGTTTTCACATATCCCTTATGAGTGCTACTGTGGAATTCTTTGATAATTGCATTCGTTAGTTTAGAATCCATAGCAAGATAAATCTTCTCCTTAAATGATATAACTCCATCAGCTACCTTCCAAGGTCCGACTGCTTCCCCTTGTTGAATACGTGCTTTCAAATCTTGCAAAACCGAATTGTCATCAATTTCTTCCTTAATAGTATCAAGCCAGCGTGGTACCAATTGAGAGCAAGCAAAAATAGCACCTGAGTTATCGTCAACTTCAAGTCGCTGTGATAAGGAATCAATTACCACATTATCTCCACCTCTTTTGTACTCCACTTGGAAATCATAACCCATTAATTTGTATAGCCAACGTTTTTGAGTGGTGGTTGTAATCCTTTGAGTCCACAAATGCTTGAGACTTTGATGATCCGTACGAACAATAAACTTTCTCTCTAACAAATAAGGTCGCCACTTTTGGACAGCAAGTACCAATGCGAGCATCTCCTTCTCATAAGTAGACAAGAGAAGATTTTTCCCACTAAGAGCATGGCTGAAAAAAGCAATGGGTCTTTCTTGTAACAATACCGCCCCTGCCCCCATCCCGGAAGCATCACACTCAACAATAAAAGGTTTACTAAAGTCAGGGAGAGATAGTACCGGTGCTTTTGTCATGGTTAATTTGAGCTTTTGAAAGGCTTCTTCTGATGTTGTACTCCATTCAAATGAGTTCTTTTGGAGCATGCTAGTAAGTGGAGCTGCAATCTTACCATAATTTTGGATAAATTTACGATAATAGCCAGTCCCAAAAATCTCGCATCTCTTTTGGAGTTTTTGGTTTGGACCAAGACATCATTGCCTTAACTTTACACGGGTCAACAACAACTCCATGGTTGGAAATAAGATGGCCTAAGTATTGCATTTGCCTTGAACTGAATGAGAAGTTATCAAGCTTCACCCATAGCTCATTAGCTTTTAATATGTCAAAAACCAACCTCAAATGCTCCATATGTAAGTCCCAACTTCTACTATAAATGAGAATATCATTAAAAAAAAAAAAAAAAAAAAACCAAAACAAATTTTCGAAAGAATTTTTTGAATACCTCATTCATGAGTGCTTGAAAAGTAGAAGGAGCATTGGTAAGCCCGAATGGCATTACCAAAAATTCATAGTGACCCCCATGAGTACGAAAGGCTGTCTTTTCAATGTCTTCTAAATCCATCCTCACTTGATGGTGGCCAGATCGCAAATCTAATTTGGTAAAGAATTAAGCACCCTCCAATTCATCCAGAAGCTCATCAATTACTGGAATAGGAAACTTATCCTTGATGGTAATTTTATTTAGAGCTTTATAATCAATACACATTCTCCAGGATCCGTCATGCTTCTTGACTAAAAGCACTAGTGATGAATACGGGCTAGTGCTTGGGTGGATGATTCCAGAATCCAACATCTCCGTAACCTGCCTTTCAATTTCAATCTTTTGAAAGTATGGGTAGCGATATGGCCGTGTCACTACTGGTCCACTTCCAGATTGGAGGGGAATTTTGTGATCATGATCCCGTCGTGGTGGTAGGCCGTTTGGTTTATCAAACACTTCATTGTAGTCTTGCAAGAGTTGTTGCACTGAGAAAGCTAAGGAAGTGTGGTTATGTGATTTCTTTGTGTTCCCTATTAATTGCAGAATAACCCTTTGCTGCTGCTTCGTTATTTTGGTGATAGGAGCGGCTTCACTGACCATATTGTGGAGGTTAGATATTCCACGAAAAGTCACCATTTGAGCATCCTTTTAGAATGTCATTCGCAAGGTCTCAAAATCCCATTGAATTGGTCCAAGAGTTCTCAGCTATTGAGTTCCTAACACAACATCATAACCCTCAAGAAGTAAGATAAAAAAATCAACGAGGAAGGGTATTTTTTGTAACCTGAGTTGAACATTCGAGCATTTTCCTGGAGTAGAAAGCTTTTCACCCAATGCTACCATAACCTCTAACCGACCGTTTGAGTTGGGATGAAGATTTATTCGCTGAGCTGTTTGTGAGCTGATGAAATTATGAGTGCTTCCCCAATCAATGAATGCAACCATGATATGTGTACAAGCAGCTCCTGTTATGCCACCTAATTTCCCCACTTACTTCAGGTTGTTGTTCTTTTTGAATAAGTCAAAGAGACAATATTCTCTCAAGTTGTTGAGATATATTGTTAGCTTAGCTGCACTTTTAAGTAGGCAATAATCTCTCAGATTTGCTCAGATTTGTTGAGGAAATCTTGCTGTCAGTTATTTTACTTTATGTATTTAAACGTGGCCTGAAACATTAATAAGGGAGAGAAAAAATTCAAGTCTTAGTTTATTTGTGGAGGACGGGTTACCCTCGAAGTAAACCCAAATCTTATCTTTTATCTTTTTTGCTTGAGCACACACCAAATTGTATCAGAGCCGTCAAATCCTGCTTTCATGGCGGAGCAAGATCTTCCCCATACTCGCTATCGCGAACTTTTTGAAGTGGTAGCCCATCATACTACTTCCTTAAAACGTCTAGAGGAAAGCTCCAACAACACAGAATCCTCCCTAAATAATGTTCATCGACAACTCGCTTCCATCACTCTCGCTCTAGAGAGACTTTCAAAGGCCCCTCACCCTGAGCAACTAGAAGGTCCCTCTTCTTCATCCACTCGCAATCCATTGTTTGTCGACGATAATTATCGTCAACCAATAACCCCAAAAATTGATCTCTACAAGTATGATGGTACTGAGGATCCTTCGGGATGGATATTACTAGCAGATCAATTCTTCCTCTTGTACCAAATTCCTGCTCCCCAAAGACTCCTTTATGGATCTTTCTATCTGAAAGGAGAAGCATTATCTTATTTCAAGTATCTCCAACATGCAGGAGAATTGTCTGACTGGGCATCCTTGGTTCACCAAATTCCTGCTCCCCAAAGACTCCTTTATGGATCTTTCTATCTGAAAGGAGAAGCATTATCTTATTTCAAGTACCCCCAACATGCAGGAGAATTGTCTAATTGGGCATCCTTGGTTCAGTCTCTAGAAAAAAGGTTTGGCCCCACTAAATATGAAGATCCCGAGGGTGAAATCACTAAGTTACGTCAAACCTCTACAGTTGCAGCGTATCAAACTCAATTTGACAAAGTTGCTCAGCGTGTTGATGGACTTCCAGATAGATTCCTTGCTCGTACCTTCGTTAGTGGACTACGAGATGATATTAAAGGGATGGTAAAACTACTCCGTCCTACATCCTTGAAAGAAGCAATTGGTCTAGCTCGACTCCAAGAGAAACACCATTGTAAGGATCAAAAAAGCTTCTCAACTCCTAATAAGCCCATTACATTTGCTGCCACTACACCTATCAAGCCATCACCTTCTCTCAAGACTCAACGACTTTCTTATGATGAGATGAAAGCAAGGAGAGACAAAGGCTTGTGCTATTATTGTGATGACAAATTCGGGCCAAGACACAAATGCAAGACACGTACTTTTTTCTTTTTGGAAGGGCAAGAAGATAGTGATATGGATTGTTCAGATGACGATAGCCCAGTTAGTCCGCCCCCAGCAATCTCACTCCATGCCATTTTAGGTGTACAGATGCCACAAACTATGCGAGTTACGGGCACTATTGCCAACCGCTCTGTTTTTATTTTAATTGACTCAGATAGTACCCATAACTTCATGGATCCGTCGATTGCTAAAAAAGCCAACCTACCCGTTTCTCAAACCACCAACTTCACTGTTATGGTAGCCAATGGGGATAAACTATCTAGTGAAGGTAAATGCTCAAACACAAAGCTTTCAGTTCAAGGCATTCCTATAGTTATAGATTTTTATCTTCTTCCTTTGGGCGGGTATGACATTGTACTTGGAACCTTTTGGCTTCAAACACTTGGGCCTATTGTTTGGGATTTTTCCCGACTAAGCATGAAATTTTCTTTAAAAGGCAATTCATATACTCTCACAGGAGCTACTACTAAAGACATATCTATCTTAGATTGTGATTCCCTTGAGAAGTCTTCCAAAAGAGGAGTCATTGTTAGTTTATGCTCCATCCAAGGACCTGACACCTATCCAACTCCACACCCATTACTTCAAAAGGTCCTAAATGATTTCCATGATGTTTTCTCCATTCCAAAGGGCCTTCCTCCTAACCGAACCCATAATCACAAAATCCCGCTTTTTGAAGGAGCTCAACCTACAAATGTGAGGCCATACAGTTATCCACATTTTCAAAAAGCTGAAATTGAGAAAATTGTCAAAGAGTTGCTTCACGATGGTGTTATTCAGCCTAGCCAGAGCCCATACTCATCTCCAGTCCTTTTGGTGCGAAAAACAGATGGAAGTTGGCGAATGTGTGTTGATTACAGGGCCCTTAATAATGTCACAATCAAAGATCGCTTTCCGATACCAATGGTGGACGAGCTTCTTGATGAGTTACATGGATCAAATTTTTTTTCAAAATTGGATCTCCGATCAGGCTACCACCAAATTTGAGTTGCACTAGAGGATGTTCATAAGACTGCTTTTCGCACCCATGACGACCATTACGAGTTTCTTGTCATGCCTTTCGGTTTGTCAAATGCTCCATCTACTTTTCAGAGTCTAATGAATGAAATATTTCGTCCATTTTTGAGAAAATATGTCTTAATATTTTTTGACGATATCCTGATTTATAGTCAATCACTCTCTGATCATGTGGAGCATCTTTGTACTGTACTTGAAGTTCTTCGTCAACATAAGCTGTTTGCCAAGCTATCAAAATGTCGATTTGGATGCCAATGAATTGACTATCTGGGGCATATAATCAGTTCAGATGGAGTATCCGTGGATAATAAGAAAATTGAATGCATACAATCTTGGCCATTACCTAGTTCTCTCAAGGCATTACGTGGGTTTCTTGGATTAACTGGCTATTACCATAAATTTATTCAGAATTATGGTAAGTTGGCAGCTCCTCTCACAAATATGTTAAAGAAGGATTCCTTTCATTGGAATCATGAAGCACGCCAAGCATTTGATGCACTCAAACAAGCAATGGTTAATCCTCCGGTTCTCTCTCTCTCTGATTTTTCAAAGCCTTTTATTATTGAATGTGATGCTTCAGGTGCTGGGATTGGAGCAGTTCTAATGCAAGCAGGGAGACCCCTTGCTTTCCTTAGCCAAAATTGCAAGGGAAAAATGTTTTTTTCTCTACATATGAGAAGGAATTACTTGCTTTAGTTTTGGCGGTGCATAAATGGCGTCCTTACCTTTTAAACAACCGATTCATTATCAAGACAGATCATCACAATTTAAAGTATCTGTTGGAGCAACGTGTGGGTACGACATTTCAACAACGGTGTTTAACTAAACTTTTGGGATATGATTTCAAGGTTGAATATTGAAAAGGCTCTTTGAATCCAGCTGCAGATGCTTTATGACGAAGGGATTTCTCTTCAACTTGTTTATCCTTATCACAAGTGATCCCAAGCTAGTTAGATGAGATACATGCCTCATATGCAAATGATCAAGATGTTCAAACCAAACTCAAACAATATGACGATGGAATTCTTGATAAAGTGAAATTTGTTGTTCGTAATGGGATTCTTTTTTATAAGCAAAGGATTTATTTGGGCCTCACCTATCCTGTTCAAGAAAAATCGTTGCATGAGTTCCACTCTACTGCTACATCTGGACACTCTGGATTTCATCAAACTCTCCAAAATCTGCGGCAAAATTTCTATTGGTCTGGGATGCGAAATTCGGTACGTGACTTTGTCAAAGAATGTGATGTGTGCCAACAAGTAAAATCCATGAATACAAGTCCAGCAGGACTCCTTTAGCCTTTGCCAATTCCTACCCAAATATGGACTGATATCTCAATGGATTTCATAACGGGGCTCCCTAAATCAAATGGTCGTGATGTTATCATGGTTGTTGTTGACAGATTATCTAAATATGCCCACTTCATTGCTTTGGCACATCCTTATACAACCCAATCTATGGCCAAGGTCTTTCTTGATAATATATTCAAACTGCATGGGATGCCTAAATCAATTGTGTCTGATCGTGATAGACTATTTCTTAGTGCTTTTTGGAAGGAATTTTTTAAACTCAATGAGACTTATCTTTGCTTTAGCACTGCATACCATCCTCAATCTGATGGACAATCTGAGGTAGTTAATCGCTGTCTTGAAAACTATTTAAGGTGTTTTGTAGGTCTTCGTCCTAAAGATTGAGCCACTGGCTACCATTGGCAGAATGGTGGCACAACACTAATACCAACTCATCATCTGGTATTTCTCTTTTTGAAGCAGTTTATGGCTACCCACCTTCACGAATTTCATCATATTCAGGAGACACCACTTTTCCCTCCAACGTGGCTGAACACCTCAAAGTAGAGAGCAGATTCTCCATCTCTTGCGTGAAAATCTTTCAGCAGCACAAAATCGAATGAAGCTGTTTGCAGACCGTAAGCGTACTGATTGGGAGTTTCATCCAGGAGATTTTGTCTATTTAAGATTACAACCTTACCGACAAACTTCATTGGCAATTCATCGCTCTTTGAAACTAGCCCCGCGATTTTATAGCCCCTATAAAGTCCTTGAACGAATTGGCAGTGTAGCTTATCAGTTGGAACTACCAAAAGACTCCAAAATACATCCCATCTTTCACGTTTCGTAGCTCAAACCCAAGGTTGGCAGTAAAATGGTTCCATTGATCAATCTACTAGAAATTGCATGCATCGGAGAGCTACAACCTGTTCCTGAACAAATTTTGGCTAAAAAGATAGTCCAACATGGAAGGCGTAATATCACTAAAGTTCTAGTCCAGTGGTCTGGCTCCAGTACGAATGCAGCTACGTGGGAAAGACTCCTAGACTTAAAAAGGGAGTTTCCACATCTGAACCTTGGGGACAAGGTTCCTTTGATAGGGAGGGTCTGATATGTGTACAAGCAACTCCTGTTATGCCACCTAATTTTCCCACTTACTCCACGTAGTTGTTCTTTTTTGAATAAGTCAAAGAGACAATATTCTCTCAATTTGTTGAGATATATTGTTAGTTAGCTGCACTTTTAAGTAGGCAATAATCCCTCATATTTGCTCATATTTGTTGAGGAAATTTTGCTATCAGTTATTTTACTTTATGTATTTAAACGTGGCCTTAGACATTAATAAGGGAGAGAAAAATTCAAGTCTTCAGTTCATTTGTGGAGGACGGGTTACCCTCGAAGTAAGCCCAAATCTTATCCTTTATCTTCTTTGTTTGAGCACACACCACAACCATTCTCACTCATGTTTGGAGACTACTCACGACTTGCACCACGATTTGGTCCTCTTGGGTTCATTATGTTATTTTGAGAGGTCGTTCCTTCTAGCATGTTCTTATTCCCTCCAAGGCTTGTTGGTCTTAGAGGAAGATCCTCTCCAGCTAGGAGTGGTGTAAAGGTCTTTTTGTCACATGTATAGGGGATGGGCGGGATACCTTCTTATGGTAGGATTTTTGGTCGCCGCACGATCAGTTATGTGATATTTTCCCTTTCCAGATCTTATCCCCCATAAGGCTCCCTTGAGATGCTAGAGTTTCTGACATCATTGTTGATGGCATTTGGGCCTTTCCTATTGGGAATCCAACTCTTAGCCGATTTGGGATTCCATCATCGAGATCCGAGATCAACAACTATATTGTTTGGAAAGGACACCCTTCTGGCAAGTTCTTTGTTGATTCAGCTTGGAACATGCTCTGGGACAGGCAAGAGGTGAACTCTTTACACATCTGTTGTGGTTTCCAAGGCATATCCCCAGACACTCCTTTATCCTTTGGTTGGCCATTCAGGGTAGATTTTATACCATGGATCGTCTTTAGTCCCACAACCTCATTGGTTCTACTGATTGTGTCCTTTATGGCTCTACGCTTGAGACACATGAGCATTTATTATTCAGCTGTGCTTTCCCAGCATCGATTTGGGAGAGGTTTCTTCCAAAACCATCCTAGCCAGGCCTCTTATCTCCTGGACAGATTTACTCCAGTGGACGGTCCTGCACCATAGATGCAAGGATGACTTTAGACATCTCCTTGCTTGGTTAGTCTTCTTTACCACATATTACTTCATTTGGTATGAAAGGAATATTCGTCTATTTAGTCATGAGATCAAGATCTCGCGTGCGATCATTGATGAGATCTGTTCCATAATCTGAGATCAAACTTTTGACCTAGCATCCAAGTATGCCATCCATTCTTAACTTAAAGCCATTTGGAGCCTACCCGACTAATTGGTATTGTTTTCTCTTTTCTATTTGGGTTAAGCTTGCAAGCTCCGTTAGGGCGCTTGTGCCCATCTCTTTCATTTGTTTGGAGCCTACATGCTCTCTTTTGGGTGTTTGTTCTCATCCTTTTCTCCAAAAAAAGGGGCATATCTATTTTGGTCTTTTTTAGACCTTTTCTGGGGGTATGCCTTTAGTTTTATGTATAGTTTCTATTCTTTTATGAAATTTACCCTTTTCAAAAAAAAAAAAAAAAAAAAAAAAAAAAAAAAAAAAAAAAAAGGCAAAATCTATGGAAGGGTTGATGAAGATCAAGTACGGCAACTTGGTTTCACTTCTGAAGTAGCAACTAGTGGACTAAATCACGATGGGTAACCCAGGTTGAAATATTAACAACATGGAGCATGCTTTTTAATTTATTGCAGAGGCTGGGGGCCTCACCACTTATAATAATTATCCCTACAATCCTTACGATCCAAGGCAAGGGTATTATCAAAGACGGGTGGTAGTTGTCCAAGGTTTTCAAATCTGTGGTGAAAGAGTACTACCAACTTACTGCTCAAATTACTCCCGATTCTCAAAACACGAGTTGGGTGTTCCTTATTGACAGGTACTTCTCATTGCTCTTTAGTTGGCCCTATTGTGAGCTTCTTTTTGTGAATGCGAGGATCAATAGTATCTTCCAATGGCCCGGCCTTGGCTCAGACTATACAATGATCATGGTCTTCGGGAGTGCCCATTTTTATGAGACACTTATTGCCTGGTTAAAGCATTCCCTTGAATCTTTTTAGCAACCCCTTATTACTTCGATTCCATCTGGAGTTGGGAACTTCATTGCCTGACACTACACTGAGGTGACCACACTCAGGTCGTCTAGGAGTAGCCTTCCTAAGATGACATTGTAAGTGGTCGGTCAATCGACCACCAAGAACTACGCCAACATTGTCACTATCTGAGGCTTCTCTCTAAGAGTTACAAGCAGCTCTATCATTCCCTTGGGGACTAGGCTGTCCCCAGTGAATCTGTACAATGACAATGGGCATGATTGCAAATCTCGCTCAATGAACCTCATTATTAAGTGTTAGAAATACAGATTTATTTAGTGATTCCGAGGTGAAACTATAAAGAATTTAAGGTTTAATGCATGATTTATGATGTGATTTCTTGCATGTTTCGTTATCTTCTGGAATCACGGGTGTTGTGCATGTTTTCAGGTGCAAAAAGATGGATTATTCATGCTAGTGCTGGTG